TTCATGACGCCCATCTCGTTCTTGTCTTCTGCTTTCTTCTTGGCCTGAACTGGGGCACTTGGATTTTGCAAGTTTTGCGAAGGTGTTCCAAGTCCGGGCCTCGATCGTTTCGCCCGTCTCGTTCATGACGCCCATCTCGTTCTTGTCGCTCATCAGGATCGTTGCGCAAATTTCAAAAGCAAACAGCAAGAAAGCAAACAGCAAGCGCACACTGTCACGGGCACGGTGTCACAAGCCCTAAATGAAAGCGATGGTCTGTTTAGCGGCAAGCCCAATGTCACAAACACGCAGTTGCGCAATGTTGATCTGCACTTCTAGGCGCTCAAAGAATTGTGCCGACCCCGCCCTTCCCACGCTTGACCCTTCAGTCTTGCCTTGCTTGATTTGCAATGCAATGCAAAACACCGACCCAAAACCCCGACCACTAAGTCCCTAAGCAATCAACTATTTGCACTGGCGAACATCGGTGGGCCCAAGCTTCGGTTTGCATCACATCTTGGTGCCAAGGATCCTTGTTCAAGTTTTCTTCATATTTCCTTCTCGGCCTGACACACCATGCTTTGGGGCAAGCTGACACAACACACAATATCAGATGCCAATAGCTCCCGGCCATACAATCACTTGCGCATTATAAAAAAAACTTACGCCCTCAAAAATTAGCCCAAAGGAACCCCCAACAGCTAGGAAGATTACGTTGGCGGGAACTACACAAGGCAGGTTTATGTCGGAGACATTTATCCAACTATACTGTCATGTCTTCATCGCAGCAATCTCTACCATGAAAAGTGCTGCTACCCAGTTGTGCTTGCTACTTTTGGCTACTCTTAAGAAACCATACGGAACGTAAGAGAAACAGCCCTGAGCACTTGGTCTTTTGCCGGGACGAACACACAGCAAAGCGTAGGTAAGGACGGTAAAGCCACCGTGAAACTGCTAGTGTTCCGCTGAAGTTTACCCCTGGTGGCCAAGAGGATGAACAGCTTCGAAACAAAGCGGTGACACGGACTCAGTTTCCTAAGAGCGCTTGGCGCGGACCGTAGCTGCCGTAGCTAAAGGGAACGCACACATGAGTGAATCAGGCGCGAGAGACTCTTGGCTTAAGGCCGGTGAGACTCGGGTGTGGGCGGGTGGTGTCCAAAAATGCATGTAGCAAGCACAATTTGAGCATAAATGCGACACAAACATGGATTAGCAAAACATGAACGAACAAGTACGTCACACGTTCTGCTAACCAGTTGTGCTTGCTACTTTTGCCTGCTCCTAGCTGTGTCACACAAGGCACTGGTCTCATTGATCTCCTGTCCGTCAGGCTCGCAGCAGGAATCGGGTCGCAATGACCTTCACGTCCTGCACCGACACTAACAGCGAACCCCACAACTGTACTAGCACGAAACCGGTACGAGCAAAGCACGTAGCTCAGTGATTGTGGCTGTGGGTCGTGGAAATTCCAGACTTGTTTAGGAGTTTTGGGAGTTTTTGGAAATGTCTCAGGAAGTTCAGGGTGCCAAAGATATAGTTTGGCATTTCAGGACGGCTTGAATGTGGATCGGGCTGTTTCGAGATACCTTGGTGCATCTTGATGCTGTGTAAGTCATGTTGAATGTCTTCCAACAGAGGTGAATTTGTGGATGTTGGGTTCCTTTCAAGGGTGCTGGCAAAATACGTGCTTAGCTGCACCAAGACCTAGGGCGCAGCAGCAGAGAGAACTTCGCGTGCAGATGTGGGTTAACGGCTTCCAGAAGAAGGAGATTCTAGTAAAGGAAGCCGTTTTGGGGATCGTCTCATCTCAGCGTTCATGAGTTATTTTGAAAGCAGACGCATTGACCCAGAAGCTGAATATGAGTGTGAAGGCGCAGCATTCTTGTAGAGTAGAAAAACCGGGACACCTGAGGCACCGGTTACTGCTAAAAGCAATCGAGGTCAACGTGACTTAGACCACGACATACCACGACTGCAATCATGTCCGCGTTGTGACACTCAAGACTATAATTAGCAAGTCGGAGGTAAACATGTCTCAAGGCACATTCAGATTCAGAGTATCGGTTTTTCCACAAAGTGTCGGGTGCAAGTCTTGCGGGGTGGTCACATGCAGGAAACAGCCCACTGCTGTCCTGGGCGGGAGATGAACTGATCCGACAGCCCGAGCATGAGAGCACGGTCGCGGTGCCAGCAAGACTGATACGCCAAAGCACGAAAACACCAACGAGGATCGTGCCGGTTCACTGGGGCGGTCATTACAACTTCCCACCATTGACTGCGCGACTTGACATCAACACAGTGTGGATGCTATGTGCGGTATCCTGTGATGGATGCCTCTGTCCGGACACAACATCAGTGATGACGTAGAGGCAGTTGGTGCATCCTCCGGCGCATGGACACCAGACAGACAGACAGGAAACATTGAACTCCGACAGGCCATGCCAAACGGACAATGGCTGGCAGACAAGCCAAGAAGGCGGGAAGGAGCCACAAACATCTTGACAGGAACCCAACGACAGTCTGCACGCAAAGCACTCCGTGAAAGGAAAGCTTACTAGCCATGCCAACTCAATGTAAGCCATCGTCCCATAGTCCACCGTAGACAGCTTGTTCCAAAACTGGAGGCTGCTCTCGCCACTTGATGTTCGGGTTTGTCGTTGTTTATGCAAGCCGAATGTGATTCAGAAGCGATTGGAATAAACAGGTCAGAGAGTCTGAACAAATCACGGCGGCAGGAGATTTTTGCTTTGACACGCTCGCCAATCCGAACCGAAATAATCTGCAAATGTGGTGTACTCTGGGACGCGCCTCTCGAGGCACTCGGTCCGCAACAGAACAGAAGTGCGGTGTACCTAAACGCAGCCTTAGAGCCGTCGAAGAGATGGTCGGTGGAGCAGCACACTTGAAGCAACCGCGCCGGACCAACCGAGGACATCAGTTTTGGCCTTGCCAGCGCTCAATGCAGGTGCAACCTGTGCAGGGGACCGGCACGCGGATTCTCGCAGTGACAGACGATGAAAAGCCGTGTTGAGTAAGAAGATAAGAGCCGGATGTTGCCGATAGATGTCCACGGGATCTCTAAGCCAGCTTCGCAGATGCGGAGTCTCATGCAACCGCGGCCAGGTCATGCAAAGGCTCCTGCAATATCTGCCACCCTGTCTGTGGCTTGAAAGATCCACACTTGGGCTGCTCGTGCTGACCCACTCTGTAATGCAAGGCTTTCTTTCTGAAGGCGCCTGAGTCGCAGGGAATCATGGGTGAGACTCGTGGCATTGCTCTTGTGAAACACGTCACGGGCACGTGCTGCACTCGTGACTAGTGACACTAGTGCTGCATGCCCTGCTTCTCTGCGAAGGTCCTGCTCGAGGCTCATCGGATCTCACAGAAGATATTAGCGGGTGAGTGCGCAAAGGCGGCTCCCTGCCTCAACCGGTTGAAGACCTCTACCTTCAGCTTCTCGGGGAGAGACGCTCTCCCTTTTGGTGCGATGTCGTTGATCATGTCCTTCCAGGAAATGCTCAGCACCCTGTCCACGTGCGATCTTACACCGGATCAAAGGAAGGTCCCCCACCTCGAGGGTCACTTTCTCCACACCCCTGTTCTGAATGAACTCCACGCACTGCTTCTTGAGCTCCTGCGACACCGTCAAGTCTCTCTCTCTGATTCTCTCTGGCACACCTGTCGATTCTTTCGAGCGAGAGGAGGGTCGGAGGGTCGGACGCCGTGCCTCGCGCCATCCACACTCATTCAGGTGGCTGATGATGTACCTGTCAATCTCAGAAAAAGCTCCACACATCTCACATTCTTTCAGATTCGAAAGGTCTTGGTCACTGCACAGCCCGCTTGGTCACTGCTTGAGCTGCTCTCGTTCACCCGTCTCTTCCAGCTTCATGTCGAGCATGTTCTGCTCCTGAAGGGAGGGTTTTCATTGTCGCGCCACGGGCCCGTATACCAGGCCCCGGTCCATGACGCGTCGCGCCGCCGAGGCATCCGCCATGGCCCCCCCGGCACGGCACTGCCGCGATCAGCTTGAGCCGACTCGACTCACCGGTCCACTCTAGCGACTCTAGCTGCTGTCCCGCTTAGACCACGAAATGTTCCTTTTTTCCAGCGGCCGGTGCCCGTGTCTCGAGCGCAGAAAACAAGAGGGGACGGGAGCAGCGTCCGCTATCACCAGCCCTTCATGTTGATGAGGGGCCTCAGACTGGCAGACGAAAAACGAGCACCCTTGCTCTGCCTGGGCCCTTGGATGCTGGCTGGAGGTGATGCACTACCTGTGAATCCGAGCTGGAAACCGCTGGCGGACGTCAGGACGCAGCAGCCCGCAGCCTCCACGAGATCTTGCTGGTTTTGCATCACGGTGTTCAGGTCCTGCAGGTCAAGGCAGGTAGGGAATCTTTCTCGACATCACAGCTTGAACACATGCGTGTAGATGTTTATTGCAGACACGCAATTGCAAACATCTTGGAGGAGATCACCAGCACACACACCCAAATCAAGCAATATATTTTATAATGTGGATCAAGCACACCCCAAAATCTATCATAATGTCTTGTAATACTGTAGTAGTGCTACATAAGAATCATCCTCTCAAGAACAACATGTAGCAAAACTGAGCCCAAGATGGTGAAAATCTGCTATCGTAAAAGCAGCGGTTGTGTCGCTACTTACGCGTAAATTTGCGCCCCAGAGCCATTATATGCAAACCGGACCTACAGCGGCTATCATGATCAAATGGTCCTTGTAGGCCATTGGCGCCTGTGCACAGCATTACGGGTCGCAGGGCCTAAGGTGCAATTATTGGGGCCAGCCGTCTAGTTGTTGTTTCGGTCTCCTTGTTGGACGGGGAGTCGTTGCTTCGTGGTGGTGGTGGTAGTTGTGGTGCTTGTGGTGGCAGTGGTAGGGGACGGTGGTGGAGAACAATCAGTGTGGTTCGTCATGAGCAACATCATCAGCACCACGACTGGAATCATAAACTGGCCGTATCCACAAAGCCTGCCGCCGCAACCAGACACAGAGCAACGACGCAACGACTGCCAACTCGGATAGTGAGAGCAATCCAGAATGTGATCCTGAGACCAATCATGACATGACGATGACCACACTAATCACTAGCAGAGGAAGAACTGCAAGGTCAGCAGGGGGAGCAACAACGACAACACCACGGCCACCGCCACCGCCGCCACCCCCACCACCACGACCACGACCACGACCACCACGACGAGCATGGCCACGATAACGACCACAGCCGCCACCACCACCACCGCCTTCACAGCGTTTCCATTTTGCGATGTTGTTTGAAACAATCGCGGCCTCATCTCGGACCTTGTCGGCGAACTTCACGTCCCAAACCTGTACTCAGACTGGGATCAGCTGCACCAGGCTGAAACACCAGTCTCTGGGCAAGCCGCAATCCCGCGGTCTCGCATGTGGCCAGCGAACGTCTTGGGATCAATGTTCCTTGTCGCGAATCCAATGTATGAGAAGGAGACTGGCCCAACACGAACAGATTGGGCCAGCGTTCTTGGGTACGTGAATGAACCAATCATCGAGCATCAGAGTGAGGGAGCGAGGGGGCCGGGAGATGGTCAGGCCTGAAGGCAGCTGCCCTGGACATGGATCGGCCGGCACCATGAGAGCAAGACCTCACTGTCGAAGTCTCGGACGGAGGGCAAGGACTACTGGATCCTGTGTATGAGGTGCCGGCTGCCAAGAATCGGCCTCTCCTTTGCCACGCACGATGTACGATCCGGTTCCCATGCCTTCAGCTCAAGACTTCAACGACTTCGCAGAACCTTTCAGCCGAAGGCACTTCCCGGGATGATGCCCAGCTGTCCCGCTTTCGCGCTGGTCCTTGGTGAGTGATCAAGTCCAATGAAGCCACAATCGCAGCGCATACTTTGAAACCTCTCCGTAATGGGACAGATCCTGTGACGCAGCACTCCGACACTGAACTTACGAGCCCTAATTAGAGAGGAAGGCTCAGCCCCCAGCGCCCCTTTTCGAGTGATCCAGAGCTCTTCCTCCTTCCACCTCCCCACAAACATTTATCTGGTGTCAAGCTTGCGCAAGGTGAGTATAGCGGCCTCTTGGTGGCAGGATCCAGGTACCTGATCACGAGTCGAACTGTGACACTGAAGAGGCATCCGGAAGGTGCCTGCACTGCTCGCACTCACAATAGTTGTGATGGATGTTAACCTCGGCCGGTCGAAACGTTGACCCAGCAGGTCCACGCGATGTGCCAGTACGTCATTACGTGCCCTGCCATCTGATCCCACAAAGCATCACTCCGCGTCAGCTTCTTGACGACCTTCGTTGCGACCGGGGGCTAAACCCTATCGCAAACCGCTCAGTCGCTCAGCAAGCGGAGCCTTTGCAAAGGACTCCATCATGAAGCGCCTTTGAGGCGAAACCCAGCCAAAGGCGCTCATGGGCCCCCTCCCCCCCCCCGCCCACACTTTTTGTTGCACCTGTTCTCCCAGGCGTAGGCTTGGCAAAACGTCATGTCGGTCAAGTACTGCCGACCTCACGAGAAAGCCGGCCGCTTGTTTTTTTGGCTCCGCATCTGCCCGCCCAACTGCCCGCCGAGCCTTCTGGGGATTCGATCCTGGCTGCGAAAAAAAAAAGGAGCGAGAGAGCGAGCTCCGGAGTCTACCGGCTATAAGGCCTCAGGTAGGCCAGTGCTTCGGGGCGCCCGTTGCACCTCGCAGTTCTGCGCAGAACCCCAATGGCCCCCTCGCGACGTCCGGAGCCGGGGCCCCGCGCTGCTTGGCGGCCAAGTTGTCGTAGTACTGCGCCGTCACCTCTCGTGACCCTTTCCTGCCCCCTCTCCGTCTCCACTTCCCGTGCCGAAACTGCAGGTGGCAGTGAGCTGCAGGCATTGCCGATGTTGCGGGAGCCGCTGTGCAGCATCATCCACACGCGATCCTGATCCCGGTTATCAGGATTTGCTTATGCATGCGACGCATGTCTGTTTAGCTGGTCGTTCATACTATCCCAGCTTATGCTCTCTTCAGGCTCTTGGGCGTCCTTATTCTGGTGTGTGTGTGTGTGTTTAGACTACAATGCATCCCCGTACGATCAAATTATGTAAGAGAAGTGGAGCTGCAGCTTGTCGGCATGGGCATTGAGACGCTTCTCACCTTCTCTTTGCTTGCAAAATCGAACTTTGTGCGCAGCGCCCCTCCTCCTCGTCGTAGACAAGCTCCACGAAGTGATTGCCACCGCCGAGCGTGCCCAGCTGCTTCGTGTGTCGGCTGCCGAAGGTGTCCCTGTCTCGGAAAGTCCCCCCTTCCGTGTCACTAACGACAGACGAAACAACCTCTAGGAGAGTGCGCCCATCGCATCAGCATCTTTGCAGCGTGTTCCGGCCTTAGCCATCTTGTGGGCGAATGCTGGGACATCAGCTTCTTTGAAGTTGCCTGCAGGAGCAAAAAAAGGGATGCCTTTTGCCACCGGCTCGGCCCGGCTCAGCCCGGCGCCTCCATGGCAGAGGTGCTCCGATCGTGGTACTCGAAGCCCGTTGGAATGGAGCTCCTCTCGAACACGAGCGGAGCCACCTTCCCGCACCTGGCCCGGCCCCAGCCGGCCCCAGCCTGAGACCGCTTTGGATAGCAAGGAGATCCTTTTCAGACAGGTCCTGGTGAGCGAAGGCAAGTTGCCAAGAATCATGGGCAAGAAGCAGAAAAAAGGCGCCTGTCGCAACAAGGGGCCCGACACCTCAAGGGATCACACACATATGTGCACAGGCAATGTCCTGCAAGTCTTTATACTCTAGCAACTGGGCGGCCACGCTGGCACGGCGCCTCGGATATCACTGAATCACCAAAACATATATAAGCTCTGGACCGAGCTGCTGACACATGCCGCAGCCAATGTCCACCCCAACCTCATTACACCAGCCGCTAGCTTAGCGTGATCAGCGTCGTCTGCCTCGCTCGCCGAGGAGAGGGCCGCGTTGGGACAGACATAGTCCCGTGATGCAAAGACCGAGCCGATGGTGGCACCCTTGCCAAGATGCACATCTGGCCTGGGGTCTCATCTCTGTTAAAAAAACGCTTCAGACTCTGAGCGGACGAGACTCTGACATGGCAGCGACGTAGCCCACAGCGATGCCGGCTCCTAGGGAAGCGGTTAGCAGCGGTTAGCACTACCACTTCTGACTGTGGATCTGCTGAAAAAAAGCTGCTCAAACCCGGACTCTGCTAAAAGACCAAAGGGCGGGAGAGGTTTCGGAGCTGCTGCTCCGTCTTCTCGTCGATGTCGTCGGTGTATAAGTGAACGGGCCTTGCTTAAACTTAAACGGGATATGACACACTGCAAAAGGCATATTCGAAGGGCGCCCGAGTCTGCAACACTCCACCAGGGACGTCCAGCTTCACCTGAAACGCCGACTTGGCGAGCCGCCCTTTGGCCCGTTTCAGGCTTCGTAGCTGGGCCCTGGGCTGGAAAGTCGATGGACTTCTTGCCGAGCCTGCCCAGGCACGGGCACTCTAAAGGCAAACAAACATCTCCCTGAGTCGTTTTCACTTTTGGGACCTCCGCACCTAGGCTTCGGGGAGTCGGAGCGGGATTCCCGCGCGGAGCTGCCGCTCGCCGCCTGGAGGGAAGGGCCGTCCCCGCCGGGCGAGAGGGGAGCAGAGGCGCGGGAACGGCGCTCTCTTGCATGATTTTTGGTCGCAGGTTTTTCTCATGTGCTGGTCAGATGCGCACTCCCATCTGTCAGGTGTTGTGCTCGTGGCCGGGGCGGTAGAAGCGGGGCTTTCTTTGGCCGCGGCGCGGCGCCCGCTCCCATCGTCGCCCTGGTTTCCGGCCCGGCTGCAGGTCCCCGGAAGGAAAAGCCTCGGAGGTCTTTGCTCTGTTGGGGAGCCCACGTGCGACGCCGGCGACGCCAGGTGCCCAGTGCAGGAGCTGCCAGGCGCAGCCGCTGGCGCTTCGGAAGCGGCACAAGGATTGCCACGGGAGCTTCGTCTGTCTCTTGAAGACGGAGGAGGAGTCGCAGAGGACGTAGGCGCCTTGGAGGAACTTCTCGCGTGCCTTTAAGAGGTGGCCGAAGCGCCGGAAGAGCGAAGCAGCCTTGGCCGTCGGACCCAACCCTCGACGTTCGCTTGGGATCTTTGTGAGAATCACGCATCCAGACAGGAAAGGGGCGATCTCCTCAAAGCTCGAAGCGTTCAGGGAGACCTCCAAGTTCGAGGGAAGGAGGTTCCCAAGCCGCCCTTCTTCTCTCGAGCTGAAGGCCCTTCTGTCCTGAAAGGAGTCCCTGGCAGCGGCAGCGTCCGGGTCCGAAAGGGTGGGCCCGTGGCCTTCGAGGTCGGCGGTTCGGAGCTTCGGCGTTTTCTTGCGCTTTGAAGAGGAGGAGCTTTCAGCTCTTTGGGGGGCCCGGGCCCTCGGCTCCTCCTCCAAAATGGTGGGACCCTGCAGCAGGCCATGGGCTTCCCTGGGCTTCCTGGGCTCGGGCCCCGGCTCGCTGGGCCGCCCTTTGTGCCGCTCGGAGCTCCGCTTCTTTAGGTCGGAGAGCTCCTCTTCGTAGAAGTCGCAGAAGTGGAGAAGGCGCTTCCGCGCTTCTTGGATGACCTCCAGGCTCCAATCCGAACCCACGAAAGTCACGTCGCTGGCTGCTTGCCTTCTGGGGGTGGAGGATTGGACTGCTTCCACTTGCCAAGGCCAGAGCTTGGCGCACGGAAGCCTGTCGGTGGCCTTGACCGGTGGAAGCTGCAGCATGGCGGACAAGAGCTCCAAGAGAACCTGCCCGTTCCCACAGAAGGGGTCCCACACAACCATGCCATCTGAGAGGCGCAGCTGCGACACGAGGGCAGCGACGAAGGTGCCATCCACTGCCTGCCTGGCTTCCTCTCTCTCAGCCTTGGGCTCGGATTCCTTCAACTCTACTGCCGATGCAAGCGTCCATGTGGGAGCTCTAGGCATGGGCTCCGCGCGCTCCGCACGCTCCGTGCTCCGGTGCACTTCGCGAAGGCCCAGGCGGGAAGCACAGAGCAGCTCCAGCGAGCAGCGGTTTCGAAAGAGCACGGCACGGAGGAGGCAGGGACGGCCACCCGGGCCCGAAGCTTCTCGGCGCTGCGCGAGCGGCTGAAGAGCAGACAAGAGCTCCTGGCCGTTGAGGCGGCTTTGGCGTTCCCAAGCGGCCGTCCGAAGCGGTTGGTTTGGGGCCAGGAAGTGGTCGAAAGGAATTTCCTCCAGCGCCTTCTCCAGTTCTTGCAGCGTCTCGCAGGGAAAAGGCTCCCCAACTCGAAGCCAAATGCTCTGAGCCAGCCTGCATCCCAAGATCCAAGACAATACATTCCAGGGACCCAAGACTTCCACGAGGCCCTCAGCCTCGAGGCCCTCGGGCTCAATCGCTCCTCCGGCTTTCAGCTCGGTCAGCTCGGTGCTTGCGCCCAAAATCACGGAAGAGCCGTGCTTTGGAGTCTGCAGCTGCTGCAGTTCTGCCCGGAGCAAGGGCTCCAAACCCAGGCGCCCACGGATGAGCCAACTGTAGGATGCAAAGCTCTCGTTGCACTCACCTCCGTCACCTCCCTGGCCCGTGTAGCGGCGGTCCCAGGCCCAGGCACCCGACCCAAGGCGCCCGACCCGCAGCGCCCGATGGCGTAACCCGGGCACGAAGACGCGCTTCATGACATAACAATATTCGGGGATGTGATTTGGAATATAGATTCCATTCACAAAGCTAATAGCTTCTCTTTTGATAGTCATGAGCAAGAGCGGCTGCTAGCAGCCGGGAAACCGGAAGCGAGCTGCATTTTGGTGCACATTTCGGCGACCGAGGCCAAGGGCAGGGAGATCCGCAGCCGGGGCCTGGCGCCTGGACAAGGCAGCAAAAAGCGGCTCTGTAGACAAATCTTCGGCCAGAATATCTCCGAGAAAGAAAGCCCCAAGACTGGTGAGCAGAGGCCTTTTGGGGGACTCCGAGATGCACCCCACTACCTAAGCCTTGGCACATGTCTCGCCTGTGTTTCATGCGAGCGTCATGGCTCTGCGCAAGCGATCACGTCAAGATCTGCAAAACACGCGTGTGCTCTAGCCCTGGGCCACCTCTCGCGGCGAGCTGCTCGCGCGTTTGGGAGGTGATCTTCTTCGAAGGCGAGCCGACTTCTGAGCCTGCGGCCCCCAAGACGTGCTTTGGAGCTGAACTTGACTCCGAGCTGTTGGCTCCAGTCGGGTGACGGGTCGGGAAATCGAGTCGAAACCGACAAGGACCGAGTCAGAAACTGCGAAGGTCCGAGCACCTTTTCCCGACGCCGAGACTCCGTGATCCCTCAATGGGAAGGTTCGGCCGGGCGAAAAAAATGTAACAGGTATATCCTGGGCTCGCCTGCCTAAGCCCATTCCAGCCCCTCGCCCATGTTTGCCACGTTGCCTACTGTTTCATTGCAACTTTTGATTCTAACCTTCTTCATTCCTATTTCATAGTTCGATCGGTTTTGAACGTTTTGTTTTCATCAACAATTGCCCTATTCCGTTGTCCCTTGACCGGCCCTGTTCTACACAGCCACGAAATTCTCCCTCCCATTTACCAAACAAACCCAGCCTATTTACCTTATTATTCATCTTCTCAAATGGGATTTTGTGTCTTAAAGTTGGGTTTAATGTGCGGCATATTTCGTCAGCTGCATCGGAAACTAAAGAAAGTTCATTCAAGAACAGCCATAGAGCGAGGTAAAGAACAGTAAGGGGAGGTAGATGTTATAATGAAGTTTCGAATCACTCAAATGCGAATCAAAAGGAAGAAAGCGAAGCCCGCAAAAAGAACGGGTATAGCACTGATTAGAGGAATGCTGAATAATTCGTTTGAAGAAGTGGAAGCGGGTATGCGTGTAAGTGGAGCAAGTGAAGAAAAAGAATAAAACCCAAAGGAAGCGATGAGCACCACAAAATAAATAGACTGAGCGCCCCATACCGTCAAGTTCATCAAGTCCTGTAGAAGTTCATCAAGTAGAAGTGTTTTATTAACCAACGCTGAAAATCAATGATTGACACCACAAGCAAATCGTTGATAGCTCTGAACCTTCCGATCGAAGAGAGTATGTTGATGAGGCAAGCTCAAGGCGCTCGCAGGAAATTTTGGAATATGTATGAAGCAGAAGCTCCAGAGGAAGCGGTAGGTCAATAAGTAGTTGAATTCCCGAATGGCTATCAGCTGCCTAGAGAAAACTCAACTTTACTACGGTGATGGAGAGCGGAGAAAAGCGTACCACCCGAAGAGGACGTCTTAACCGCCAGAAGAAAACAAAAGAAGAAAGTTTCAAAGGATGAGCATAACCAAATGAATAACGAACAACGGGGTCTTGAGACCTATGCCAGCTTACGGAGTCAACAGTGCGGACAACTAGCCACTTCTCTGCTTTGAACTCAAGACGTCTGCAGTCGAGTACATTTGACAAGAGCTCTACACGTGCAAGTGCTGAGACGATACCTGTACGAGCACAAGCAAGTATTGCTCCTAAACTGTGAAGGTCAACACGGCTTCCCTAATCAAAGTCCGACAGACAGGGGATTTTCACAGGGTATTTTCGACGAAAAAACACCCAGGATATAACCACTGAGTGTGAAAATGCAGAATAGTCACACATAGCGGAACGAACAAATCAAAACGTCAGACATTGCAACGTGGCAAACATGAACGAGGAAAAGGTGGAAGGGAGCTAATGGACCAAGTATTTGATAAAGCTATATATAGTAGGTACTGATGGGTGAAGAGGCAAAATTGCCTGCTTCATATTCTGATGTTGAAAGACGCTTTAGTAGTGCGAAAAGTTAGTACGAGGATGCTGTAAAGGCTGAATGAGTCGTTACACAAAAAGTTTAACTAACAGATATTCGGCACCTTTCGCTAGAGCTGCGAGTTTAGTTGATTTAATGAATATGCTTAGATTAATGAAAGACACAGGAACGTATAAGAAAGAATACCCGCTGTATGGTCTTGTTGGTACTCATCATTTCAGGTCGCCGTTACGAAGGAGACAGATGGCCTACGTGTACTTGATGCTTGAAAGGAATCCTTTAAAGTCATGTGACATCCACAGGCAGTTTATAATGATGATAAGGGCGCACTGAATGATAAGGCAGTACTCACGATACCTTAAGGAGGAAGGCGTCATACATAACGGAACTTTTGCCCCATGCAAACGTTGCTGAAAGAATGGTAAGGACACTGAAGAAGATGTTAGGCGACGGAGCACAGGTCCATCGGGGAGCTTAGAGGGTAATGTTGAAGCCGGCTTTAGACTAATGTAGGGGCAAACGGTGCATACACAATGGGGATGACACCGAATGAAGCACATCAAGTACAATCTACCTCGGTACTGAAAGAAGACTATCTACGAACCTATTTATCTTAGCATTAAAAAAGGCGATGAGGAAAAAGCTTGAACAAAACGCACTGGGAATTTGGAAATCACATACAGGCGGAAAAACAAATCAGGAGTGGGTGGAGTGAAAAAAACACCTCATGAAGTGAAGAGTGTTGCAAGAAACGTACAACTGAACAATTACGTATTATGTTCTTGATTCTTCAGTTCTTCGTTCAGAAAGGTACACCGTGGCGGCCTGTGCTTCTCTGGCATTGTGTTGCGCTATTTTGGATGGTGCATGGTTGATTCATTCTGTCTCTAAGCTTGTCTTTACTTTCCTGACTTCAGAGGTTTACGACTGAACTTGTCATTGTTGAATTCAGCCTTCCTTCCATTCGTGATTTGATATATGCCAAATAAGCCTTCACAACAACTGACACCAAATACTGTTGCCGCTTAGCATCAGGTTGGCAGTTTGTTCAAGATTTCATCACTCAAAAAGTCTCTACTTTGTGGCTGAAACATTCGCCCTTTGCAAGACATGCCGTCATCATAACTTGATCAGTGTCACTGCGAAAACGCCGTTTTGTTCTAGAGCCGCTGTTTCTGATTCGTCATCATCATCATCATTAAATGTTGTGGTGCTGGTGGTATTGACGAGGGAAATTCTCGATGAGGTTGTTGAACTCATTGTAAGTATTGAGGATCTGTTTGGGAGTCTGGCGGTGATATTGTTGGGAGCCTCTCAGTCAGATGTTTGGGTGAGTATCGGTGAGGACAGCTTTAGCCGTTTCATATTTTCCCTGGTACAACCAAAGAAAGCCATGTACAAGGTGCAAGCAAGACAGAAACTTAGACATGCTAAATGAAGGAAGCAAAACTGCAGTCAATACTTCGGTCATCGTCGTCGATATAGAAAGAACCAAAAGACCAAATAAATCAAGAGAAGGCTGTTTCTTGTCGTAGACGTCTTATAAACAATTACAATTCAAAAGAACAGAACAACTCTTTTTAAACATCTGAGCAAAACGAAGACCGTAGCAGTCAATGGGGACTAATAAAGCAATTGTTGATAACCAGCTATGAATAAAGAGGGTGAGAAGAAAACATAACGATGAAACACTGACTGAGTGGCGAAAATGGGCGAGGGGCTGGAATGGGATTTGGCAGGCGAGCTCCGGGACATGCCAGTTACAAAACCTGCCTGGGGTCCTTGCTGGTTTCGACTCGCTGTGGCTGACTCAATGCCTCTTTTCCCGACTTGACTCTCACTGCTGGCCAGCACGGGTCCGTACAGCAAGTTCGATGGTTGCACGAATACTCAGACAATCGGGCTGTGAGTGTAGTCCACAGGCGGCTCATATCTTTAACTTTCGTTCCAAAGACTACATCCTCGGAAGAAGCCCGTCGCCGTTGCAAGGGCTCGGGGAAGCCCTCCGCAATTCTGAGTCCTTTGAACCGCAACGTGTCCAACCAGTGCCTGGAAGCATGGCGAAGACCGGAAAGGAGTCTCATCCCGCACGTGCGAGCATCGTCGTCAAAGACGTCGTTGCTTCGGGCTTGGGCTTGCTCTGCTTCTGACGCTGAAAGTTCACAAACGTCATCTGTTGCCTAGAAACCTATGAGTCTATGAGTATAGAATATAAGATATACCGTCGTTACTTCTTTGTTATTGCTGGAGCAAGAAATGCGACATGCAGTGGTCTCGATGTATCAGACAGGTCTTGCAGAAGCCCGCAGCTCACCTGGCTTTTGGGTTGTTGGGGGGGTTTTAGGGTGTAGGTGACAGTAGGTTTTAGAAGGGTTTTGCTGCTTTTTGGAGATGGTGCTGGCGATGGCTCTGCGCTTTCGGCCTGACAACACCCAGGTTCACTTCCGACGCAAGGTTTGGGGGTCTGGCGGTTTGGCTTCCTTAGGGTATTCGTCTTGTTCGGTCTCTCGGCTTCCGGTTCGGAGCTACGGGGGGCTGGGTTCACTCAGGAGCTTTTGGTTCTTGAGGGCTAAAGGTGATGCCTGCGAGCTTGTGCTGTGACTTGACCAGGGCGGCAGGACCAAAACCAGCCACAAATTCCAGCTGACAGCCATGCGGCCATGCGTTGGCTGCCCTCCGCAAGAAAGTTCGGGATCTGCAAATGACCGGTTCGCTGCTGCAAGCGGGGTCTGCTGCACCAGGGCTCGAGAGAGCCGCGAGGGGTCCCTCTTGGATTCGCTTGGGTTGGCCCGCCGGGCGCAGCTCCGTCCATTAGCGTGCTTCCTGACAGATTGAGAGATGCCAAACAGTTAAACAGATTCCTTCAAAGTCTTAGTTGTGTACCAGGTAGGCACCTCCGCTGTGCACTGTTTTCTTTGCCGCGAGCGCTGTTGCCCCGCGAGTATATGACTGGCTGCTGGCCACTAGCTACAGCTGCTCTGGGCTCTCGCCGCTGACGAGGGGATAGGCGCTGTGGCGGCGCTGCGGCTGCGCTAGCCGCGGCAGCCGCTAGAGCCGCTCTGCCTGGAGAGAGATTGAAGATGAGAGGGGCGGCGGAGAGGCGAGGCCGCTGCCTCAGAGGTCATTGTGAGATGCGGCCCCGTGCAGCTCCTGACAGCGTTTCCACGCAAGAGATAGCCCCTCTCATGCCCTCCGCAAATCAAAGGACCCCCGGGGGCCTTTTCGATGAGCTTGGTGTAGGCCTTATATAACGGCTTTCACTAGGGCTAACGGAGACCGATATGCCCAAGAAGCCGTCATGAGCCGCGTCCTAACCTCCGTCAACCAAGCTCCGAGACCACGACGCTCTTCCCACCTGCTCGATTGAAGTCTTCGATCTGTGCGAAGTTCCTGCGTTTCGCGATCAGCCTGACTGCACGAGTTGATGTGGACCAAACGGCTCTGAAGGAATCTTTCTTTAAGGCCAGGGCTTCTCCAAGGCAGGGGGGTACTGACCTCAGCCGAGACACGGAGACAATGTGCCTCACTGGTTAACAGAAAGATGTATAAACATGCCAGGCTCCAGGCCAACGCAGTACCAACTGCCCGGGGCGTCGCAGACTCGGTTCTTCGGGTCGGCAACCTCGTGGAGAAAGGGGTAGGTAGGTAGGTAGGTAGGTGGGTGGGTGGTAGGTAGGTAGGTAGGTAGGTAGGTAGGTAGGTAGGTAGGTAGGTAGGAAGGAGGGGGGGGGCGGGGGGCGGATCATCTCACTTGCTCCGCTGCTCCGCTGCTCACAGGCTATCTGCAGAAGGCTCGGCTCTGCAGAATTTTCTCACAGGTCGCAGCACCGGCGCGCCATAGCCTGAGATAACCTGCAGCGAACCATGCACGGACGCAGACTTTGTGGAACACGGGGACCCTTTACAGAAACACCTCTCGGTCCCAATTCAGTCAAGCTAGCTGACTGCATGTGGGTGCCTTCAAATGTCGGAGCAATGTGCACTGATGGCCGTAGTCCCTAAAAACCGATTACATAATCCCAAAAACTCCTTCAAAGAAGCCTCAAGCTCAAAACTCCCGCCCCCCCCTGAATTTTGGGTCTGCCGGCCAGCCTGCTTCACGGCACTATTCCAGGGAGCTTGGGAAGCAAAAACGCGCGCGAAGCTCATGGAAGCCAGAATGCGCCGTCCCCGCAGGGATGCAGCAGCCGGCGCATCGCCTCAAGAGAGGAGAGAGCCAGGCAAGAAAAAATATCCATTCGGATCGAAAGGAGCAATCGGAAAACGTGCGCACTTCACTAACTTCACTACACTCAAGAGTTTGGGCTTTCAGTCCCCATTGCAGTGCGTCCCGGCCACGATCCCTCTGGGCGAAGGCGTCTGTGGCGAAGGGTTGCGTGCGGTGCGCCAGCTTGCCATCAAAGACGATGGCATTCCCACGAGAGTAGCGGTGAACGCAGCTCTGGCCGGGCGAAGCGTCCCACGGCAGGATCTCCTGAACAGCACCCTCCGATCACAAAAAACACGTTGCAACAAGCACGCACACACACACACACACACAAGTTAGCACGAAGTCTAATTATAGTCATGTCAGCCTACGTCAGCCTCATAAGGCAGTCTGGATGATTAGTCTCTAGGAATATACGAAAGTTGAGCACCTGATCAGGTGTCGGGCCCAGGCTCCAAGTTGCCCTGGTCTTCCGGGAACTGCCTTGGGTGCACAGAGAGCAGCGCCGTGCAGGCGGCGCCGCGCGGGATCGGCGGGGGCCCGAAGTCGACGTGGAACTTCGTCGCCGTGTCTGCGCAGCCGCCCTCATCTGAAGTCGTCAAAATATGCAAGCAATATAATAATATAACACAACAAAAAACAGACAGAGAAGTCACGCGCGCAGTGATGTGGGTATGTATGATGTATGTGTCGCATGTCCTCGGCGACGACGAAAGAGGCTGCTACCAAACCCCAGTCGTCTCCCAGCTGCTTCAAGACCTCGCGAGGTTATTTCATCATGCGGCGAGGACATCTGGGAATCTCGGCAGCCACGCTCTCCCACGCCGAGCAATATCTAATATGACTCTAGTTTGGGCGTACTAGAGGCATGGCAAACTGCAAAATGTGCCGAGGCGCGATTCTTGCCGCCGCTGCAAAGGTCTCCAAAGCTTGGTCATTTTGAGCCCAGTGCCAGGACATTGTGTCCGGAAAAGCCACGTTCAAGCCGCCGGCGCGGAGGAAGGAAGGCGCCGATAGCGAAGGAACGGGAAGAGCAGGCTTCGCTTCTGCGGCGAGCGTCTGGCTCGCAAGATCCTCCAAATCGGCGACGAGGTGTTCGGGAAAGCGGCAGACCGCCGCGCCCCGGCGCTGCAGGTCCCGGCGGAAGCCGAAGCCGAAGTGCCGCTGCCGAAACGGCCGGGGCGCCTTGCCCCAGAGCAGGCGCCGGCCGAAGACGATCAGAGGAGAGAAAAGCAGACTCCACAGGTGGGGGCCCACCTGCCGGGCCTGCAGGCGCCCGGCCGCCCCATCTCCCCGCGCCGTCTCGGCGCGCCGGCATGCCCCTACTTGGGAGAAGGAAGCCGAAGGGATCGCGGCTGGTGGGGAGCGGCACTGCCAAAGCCCTTGCATGCTGTGAGAAATTGGCTCACGGCACACACCACATGCAAACTTCTCACCTGCGTCAGCTTCGATAAGCCGCAGACCCAATCCTTGCTCTCTTGAGAAACGTTCATGACTTGGTACACCCGCATCAAGCCGTGCTTGGTCGTGTGGACCTTCAAACGCCGTGCGCTGCTGAAGCGCAAAGCTGTGGTGCAGCGTCTGGCAAAGTGTCTATATATAACTATATACCAAAAAAATGACCTCCTTGAAGAGCTTCTCGTTCACCTTAACTCCAGGACCTCAAAAGGACACTGGAGATCTGGTTCTCTCTCTCTTGGGCCCTGGCCCTGGGGGGCCCCCTACTGGGGCGCTGGCTCACGTTGTGCTGGCAAAGCTTGTAAAGCAAGGATCTGCAGTAGCTATCCATAGGCTCCAAAGTAGTTCCTTTTTGGGATTGCCTTATAAAGGCAATCCTAAATATGAACCCCAAAAAGGAACTTCTATGGAGCCTATGGGTAAGCTAATTGCAGCTATCAGCTACTGTATCAGCTCCGCACTCGAGCTCTGCAGGCCTTGCCATCATCGGAGTCGGTGAGTGGTCCTCTGCCAGGAGGGGGGGCACTTCAAGGCACTTCCCTTGCGGCGGCTCAAAACCGAGGCCGAGGCCGCGTAGAAGCTAAACTTGTTGCACTTGGGGTCGTCGTCTCCGCAATGGTCCGGAAACACGGAGTTTCCGATCCTGGCACCGCCGCAAAAGAGAAGACACACACACACACATACACAACTCCAAAAGAGGGAATTCCGAAGGCTCCTATTTAATTATACAGAGATTGGGCCTCGCCAAGTGCGGCGACTTCGCCAGGTCGTCGCCACCACCTCCGGCCCACACCTGATACGGCAAGAGCTGCTTGCTATATGCCGCTATGCTTTGTTCGAACCCTTCGTCAGGCCCCTGGCGAGGACGTAGTCTGCCAGATGCCGGATGGCATTGTGGGCCTCTCAACGCGAGAGTCAGCGCACAACTCAGATGGCGCAGTTGAAAAGTCGGAGTCGGTCTGTCGGGCGCCTTCTTCTCGCTGCTGGTCAGCGTTCGGCCTGAGCCGCCAGCAGCGAACTCATCCAGTCAGACACTAAAGAGTTCTCTTCCTTTTGGGGCTGCTGACCCAAGGTAGCGATGTGCTCGTGGTTCCAGGTGTTGCCTCGGCCATAGGCGTCTCAGAGCCTTCTCGGAAGAAAGCCGCCGGGGCAGGGGCCATCTGCAATGGAGGTCCTCCTGGCAATGCCCGTGATCTGGTAACCTCGTGACCGGCCGTGGGTCTTTCCGTCAGGCCCTTTCATAGACGCTTCGTGGCTCGGGCCGTAATCCCACCAAGCCATGACCCGCGAGTCTTTCGGTGTGTTCTGGTCTATCCACTGGTAGCCTGCAGGTGTCTGTGCTTCAAGCAGCATTAGGTTCCTCAAAATCTTGCCTTTCAGGTAGTCGTCCACTATGAAGTTGTTGCCCTGTCTGTCGCGCCTCAGGTATTGGAAGAGCTGCGAGCATTGGCACAGACGTTCGCAACTCATCATCGTCACATCATCTGTATCACGACGTGGACTTTCTTTGGGCACGGGCGACATGAAGACCACCTGGGGGTTGGAGAGTGACCTTAAGTTGGCATTGAGGTGAAGAAGGCATGCCCAATAGCAACTGGCTCTTGTCCTCCTGGGCGTGGCACCTGGCTACTTGATCACAGTGCCGGATGAAAGTCGGGATTTTCACGGACAGAGAGCTGATGTAGACGGCCTCAGAATCCAAGCAAATCCTGGCGGACACGAGGCCCTCCCTTGTGTGCGCATTTGCATTTTGCAGGAATTATGCGTGTGTGTGTGTGTGAGAGAGAGAGAGAGAGAGTGAAACACCTGTGTACCAAGGTAATACTTTAATCATGCAGGCGGATGCCCCACACCTGAAGAGTGGGCATCT